ATACGGATGGAACGCCATCGGGTCCTGGATTGAAGGACGACTTGAGTTGTGATGCGGCAGTGGAAATCATCTCGACGTTGACATCCATCGCACCCAGTGTTTGACCGTACAGTGGAACATTACTAGCTGCTAGGGTAACGTGTTCGTCAGTTAATCTCTCATTCGTGAAAACACTGGCGAACTTCTCAGAAAACAAGCGACAGATCTGCTGAGGAGTGGAAGCAACTGCTCCATTCAACACCATTGAAGAAGGTAGGCCGGATTCCTTGCGCTGCTCATTTACGTAATTCCAGAATGACTTTGGGTGTGACTTGAGTTTCCTCTGAATCCCTCGTTGATATCGCGAATAGCATCGACGGCTAACTCGCTTGAACTCATAATTGAGCCTAACGTAGTGACGTTTCAGCGAAAGCGTACGATACTTAGTGAATTTTCTTAATGCGGCTCTCTTGGTCGACTTCAACCTACTTTACGGTGAACTCTTTTCGGAACGTGCCTGTCAATGACATAAGCCAAGACATGTGAAAATGTTTGCGCAGCGGTTTCAACATTATCAGGATCGAGGCATGCTGATCAACACCAAATTTTGGTATCATACCTGAATTTGGTATTCATAAGTTATTTTCTCATGCTCGAGTATACCCCTTGAATATCAAATTCAAGTATTATAATAGCATAACTGAAAACCTAAATATGGTATCGACGAGCCTGAAATATCAAAAAAAAATTAGGTTTTATTTAAATGTTCTACGAATAATGAACTACTTGATAATTATATTATTGTAATAACTGACGGACACTAAACGCTTTTTCTGATGCCAGAATACCATACTTTGTTATTAAAAAGTTATTTTAATATCAATCTAATAAATTTAATAACTACTTTTGCGCAATCTTATTTTAGTTTGAAAAAGTTGGCCGTTATATTACTCAAGCGACAAAAAAACACGTTTATGATGAGGAATTACAAGAAAAAAAAATTAAAAATAGTAGGCGAGCAAAATAAGTAGTTCTACTTAGAAATGCGGGCGAAAATAAATGTTTTTGTCTCATAATTTTTAGCTTTCTTTTGACGCATTATATGCTGTATCTCAGGAAATACGCAATTTACTTTTTTCGATAAGTGTTTGTTATGTAAAAAGGATGGGGGATATTTAAATATATTCATTCTGAGAAAAATATGCTTTAAGTTTTTAAACGCAAATTTAAAATATTTGTTCAATTTTCCCAAAAAAAAATGTTAATTCTAGCATTATTTGTTTCGAAGATGTTGATAAAACTATTGCTTTCTTGAAAATCACGAAAAATAGAAAATGCTCCCCTGGACCGAGGGGTGCTTTGATCGACGCAAATTTTTGGATTCATAAAATTTAGACCAAAATGAACATCTACTCTCCTGAAATCAGAAGAGGTCAATTTCACGTGCCTCGGACACTTGGTGCGGAATGACCCATATGGCTTTATCCTTAAATTACATCACGAGAGGCTTTTCTGTTGGGTACTTTAGCGTGGCAACCATTTATTTGAACTGACTTTGCATACCCCTCCTAATAAATTGCTACCTTTGACTCTGTTGAAATAATTTATTCTGTCTTATACGCATACAAGGTGCTTTCTTTACTATCCGTTACGGTATTTTTGGATGATCCATGCCTAAAAGCATGTACGTCAAGCACTTATACGTATGAAAAGTTATGTACCTACATATACTGTTTACCTTCTGCCATATTTTTTTTTTTTTGTTTATTAAGGAGATTTCCAGCCGTAGGCTGGTTCATCTCCGCATTTTTCTTTTTTTCGACTGTTTTATTCAAAATCCGAAGTAGGTCCAACTCAGCCCGGTGAATGGGGAAAGTGAGACCTATTGTGCATTTTTTGGATATGATTTTTGAATTTTTAAAGTTGAGCAGTTCCACGCAGACTCGCAAATCGTTTCGGATTGATGTTTTTAGAAATATTTTTAATTTCACACAGTTTTTTGTTATTGCCCAACAATGTGTATGTGACTAACTTTGGAGAAGGGCTTATGTAAAAATGACACGCATAAATTCAACAATACATATCTCCAGAACGATTTATTTGATCGAGATGGTGTCTGCGACAAAGTTGCGTGCTTTTCTCGACAAAAATTTACTCTGTAAAAAATAATTGTGTATTTTGGTAAACAATTTGAAAATTAAACAAAAGATAGATCCGAGTAGGCTCTGCCCGCGAACGGTTGGTTTTGTTTTCGCTGGCGCTGATTTAATCTGTTTTCCGCATATTTTTTAATAGTACCAAATCAAAAAAATATTAGTTTTCGCGTATGGACAAGTGTAAATAAAGATCTATCACGTTTTAAGAAGTTTGTTTAGTGATATTGGTGAAAAATCTGGGACAAGAATTTGTTTCGAGTAGCTGTGTTGCTGTGGTGTCGCGTTGGTCTTTGCCTCCCTCCCAAGAAGAGTTTTACCGGTTTTTTTTTCTTTTCTGGTGCTGGCGTTCTGCCTTCCGGAGGATGCACGCAAATGAGGTGTCAGGCAAAAATTCGGTGCAAATGAAAAACTTCGCGTGTGATTCAAAATGTCGTGCTCGATTGTAAAAACAACGCGGACGATTTTTTCGATTACCGCGAGTGAACAAACCGGTGCTTTTTCGGAGGCAGAATTTGGTGAGATCCTTCTGATTTATAATCAATCATAAATGCATATTTCCATATATTACTAAATACGCGCCAGATTTCAAAACATCACATTTCGATATCTGGAAGTGTGTTTGCAGTACCATTATTCATATGATAACGGTAGTGTTTACATGCGGGGCTTATTGTATGTGAAAGTAACCTCGGAATGGACGTAAATTACCAGGCATTCTGAAATGGGTTGCTGAATCTGCAGTAGAGCTATCGCTTTCTAACTCCCGGACTAAACTTGCTTTAAATTATTACATCAAGGATTGTTGTAAGCAAATTTCTTCCATAATACCACTGCCGGCCAGTGGGGGTTAGATTGAATACACACACACACAATTTGAAAATTAAACAAAAAGTTAAAAAATGACAAATTGCATATTTAAACAAATTATATTTCAAGCTGAACATTGCATTAGGTTCTTTGTAACATTGACAGATTCTTTTCGTCGACTTTCTTTTTGTATTTCCAAGCCATGTAAAGACATACACCGAGTTCTTTTCAGCATACAGAAAAGAAGTTTTTATCGTAAGAGAAGAGGTGACAATATGGGGGCGAAAATGAACCACTTTTCAGTCAAACGTGGTCCAGCTCCTGATTGGCCGATTTCATGTGCGTAAGATAGAGATAGAGATAGAGATAGAGATAGAGATAGAGATAGATAAAGATAGAGATAGAAATAAAAGAGGAAGAAGCCAATTGTCACCTCGTCCCCTTAGCTTTTATCTAGCATCTAATAACACAAACATATGTGTTTATGTGCCCAAGTTATTAACGAAAGAGAAAGTCGATGATGAGAATCTATGTATGTTACTTAAAACCTAATGCAATGTTCAGCTTGGTTTGTTTATATCAAATTGAAGCTCAGGTAACGTGTTAACCACTGACAATGTGTTTATGATGGTCAATTCATTTTTTTCCTTTAATTTGTTTTCTGTTGATCGTGTTTTCTGTACTGAGAACCAATGCAACCGACGCCAGGGAAGCAGCTCCCACACATGGGCCCTCCCTATTGACCCATCAACTCATGAACCGGGGACCAACGACTTTACTTCCCTTCCCGAAGGAAGGCGTGATCAGAGATTTTATGCCTCAGAATATCCCGGCGGTGCCGAATGGGATCGAACCCAGGCCTGCTGGGGTGAGAGGTAATCACGCTTACCACTACACCACCGGCGCCGCTGGACAATTCATAAACAAAATTATTATGATTTTTTGAAAAATGTAGCATTTTTTTAAATACTACCGACAGGTATCAATTTATCCTTGAAGCATTTTTTTTTACTTTATTAGAGAGATTTTAGCCGTTGGCTAGTTCATCTCTAAAGTTGACTGTATTTATTTTTAGTTTTTAGTTTATAAGATGACAATTGTTATACTGACATGCAGGTATAGAAAACCTGTTTAAAATACTGAATTGCCAAAGCAGGAACAATGTAAACACATTTAGATGTATATCATGACAATTAAGGTTGGCAAATTACAGTAGCAGCTGGAACACCTATGTAGAATGAAATATAATTTAAATTGAATTTAGCACAAATAAAGAGCAAAAACAAAATTAGTTCAAACTAATGGGTATTTTAACCACCCACGTTGTGTATTTTCATATGGTCTACCATGGTCGATTGTTGTTATGTTAATTATGTTGTTGAATGGATTCTTGTACTCATAGCATTAAGATGTTCAGAAGACCACTAAACAGTCACTTGAACTTAATCAATAAATAAATAAATAACTTTTGCAGACTCAATCATAAAATGCTAAGTCTTTCCCCTTAGTAACTCTATGTTTCTGACCCTAAATTACTATTGCGACAACTGTACACACTAGCACATTAACTGTACCATCATCAATACAGTTCTCTACCTTTTGTCATACTTTGTCATCTCATACTGATTTCACTAGCAAAATCAAATTTCAAACTCACGTCACTTACAAACTAAAACACTGTTGAGGAATAAACATAGAGTTTCGTTCTTTTAAGCATGAACAAATAAGAAAAACATCAACCATTTTCCATCTGGCTATCCCAAATCCCTTTGCCGGCCCTCATTATAGTTTAGTTTTATTTATTAAAGAGGCTTTTTATTTAGCCTTTGGCTGGTTCGCCTCTGACCCGGCCCATATTATAATTGCGCTACTTTCACAAGGTAAATTAAGCTCCCCAATGGAAATAAATGAAATCGTTGCAATCCCCAATAGCCATACTACATGTGAACGCATAACTGTCTCATGTTATATAGAAGTTCCATAGAACATGGGTCAGTTATGCGTGCCGTAGGGGTTGATTAAAACTGCTATATGAATCAAACGTAATTACAGCCTTACCGAATGTGTGTTTCCTTCCACCAGGCATTCCGCAGCACAGGACCCAATCCTGTACAGGTGCTGATCCTCCTGTGCATTGTGCAGCAGCAGATTATCGCAGTTGATGTTGTTGGAGAAGAACACAGTAATGCACAGCACTTGTACGTACTTTAGGACTACAACTTGCATCTTAATGAGATGGATTGCACACTAGTGTAGCCGTACTTCCGATATGATTGAGTCAATTTAGTTCACTTCAATCACGATCACATCTCACGAACGCACAAGTAAATTCATATGAGGATTATTTTAAGCAAAAAAGTCACATGTACTCAGAAGATTAATTTAATTAAAATCACGAAAACAATCATATTAAGCGGTTTAACGAGCACACATTTTCCTTCGCACTTGAGATATTTGAAACTTGTCGTGGAATTCATTAGCAAGCATAGCTGAACACTCCGAATGATGCTGGAGGAATTATCTGAAAATAGTAATAAACGAAAGCTTAATTAGATTTATGAGCCCGTATAGCCTAAATAGGATAAAATTAAAAATTTGGGCAATCGATTCCACATCATCTGTCCAGAAGCCGGGTGGATAGCTTTTTACAATTTTAGACACCTCCTTCTCCCTCCCCCGCGTGGAAGTCATCCATATAAAGTAATAAACATCAGTATGGATCGTGGATATTAGCAACCCCCTTCTTACAACTGTGTATGTCACGAAAGATCACATCTATATTTTTTTCTGATTTGTCAATAACTTTTCACTCAATTGATGAAACTTTGGTTTTGTTTTGAAACAGTTAATAGTATTGAGCTGGAGCTCACTGAAGACAAACAAAATTAATTTATCGTTTACCAAACTCTGCACAGTTCGGGGACAAGCAGTGCAGTTGACAAAGAAGGTGACAACAGTTCATGTGCGTGGGGAATTTTAACTTCCCCAAATTTCCAGCGCCGGTGGTGTAGTGGTAAGCGTGTCTTGATTCTCACCTCAATGGGTCTAGATTCAATCCCAGCCGAGGTCGATGGGATTGAAGGGAACAAAAGCCGTTGGTCCCGGCTCTCATGTGTGTGTTTGAATGGGTGTGATATCCTACGCAGGTGTCTTTCTGCACTTTCGATTGCCGTCAATGGATGGCAATCGATTCCGTCGGTTATTGGCGGAACAGAGACCGACGTTAAATAAAGGAATGAAGAAGAAGAACTTTTCCAAAAGTGCTATAGTGAATCGGAGAAAAATTATCAAAATCGACGAAGAAGTTCATAACGGGAAATGGTAGCGGCTTAGATCGAGTATTGGGTATTATTTGGTTACGCCAAGAGGACGCATTTTTTTTTGCGATACGCTTTCGCGTGTCTTTGATAAATTGCTAGATGGAATAATCCAATCAAAGGGAAACTTCTAAGTCCAAGAGAAACTGGTGGTGAACTTTTTAATCGACGGTAAAGTCTTGGTGCAAGATGTTTGGAGATCGGGTATAGAGTGGGATGAAAAAATACCTGAGTGAATCTTCCCATCGTGGCAGCGGTGGGTTTTCGTGCTTGAAGACGTGGAACATGTATGATTTTAACGTAGCTACTTTCCAAGATATGACGCAGAAGCAGTGATGAGGAAAATCAAAAACTACAAAATCAGGAATGGCCGAAAATCACAAACAGAAAATCACGGCTGATTTTATCTTAGCTGAACTTGAGAGTAACAAAATCACCAAACGGAAAATCAATACCTTGGTATTACAGTCAAAGTAAAAAAACCAACATCCGCCGCCATTCTGGAATCCAAGATGGCGGACCAAAATCCAATATGGCGGCCTCCGGACAGTGAATATGCATCTAAACCCATGCAATAAGGGAATCTACCGCCACGGAATTGGGCTGTTTATGCACTCCTGCATCGACTTCCAGATGTTTCACTGATTTCGAAGTAGAAACATTGACTAATATTTCCTATTGTAGAGCTTCAGACATGAACACACAATCCGCACATCAAGAGAGTCAAAAACCTGCCAAACCACCAGGAAGCACTAAATATGTTAACTGTTAATACTGAAAAACTCAACAACAAAATCAAACCACAAACCGGCACTAAGCGTGGAAGAACACCTACAAAATTCAAAATTTTCCAGTAGCTTGCTACAAATATTGGACGGTAATTTGATTCATTTACATTAATTTGTTTATGATTATATGTAGCATTTTCCTAGTTTTATAATTTCATACGGTGGCATCAGCATTTTGAGTCTGCAAACAGTTATTAATATTTTGACAGAAATAAAATATCTCATAAACATTTCTACCAACCAAGTAGTCAATAATTTGCAATGTTATGAGTAGATATAAGAATCAATTTAAACACGTGGAATATATATCTGCCCGATGAAATTTCATAATATTGACTGTTTCTACATATAAGTTCCATTATTATCATTCAATATTCTCATTCAAAATTCACATAAAAAATACGTGAAAAGCATTTTAAACAAAACGAAATATAACGTAAAAGTTAACAGTTTTACAGTAGTTTTCACCCCGATTTCCCGAAAGTAGTACGTGAAAATTAGGTCTTATTTACCTGAATAATTAGTAGATAATCGAAGCTGGATTTTCCTCGGCTACGTGCAATACCGGTAAAAGTTACGTGAAAAATAGGGTGGACGAAAACCACCTATGTTTTCACGTAATTCGGACGTGACGATTTTTCAAAGTGCAGAGATTTCCGAGGCCAAGTGCGTGAGGTGAAATGGAGGAGAATGACGCAAGCAAGTTGACTTACTGCTGAGGTCAGCAAATTTTAGAAATTTGTTTGAATACTAAAAACTCAGTATTTCATTTTACTGATTTTTTTTTGTGAAATTGTATCGTTTATTTCAATGTTCTTAAAAAGATTATTTACAAAATAATTTAGCTTTCACATATTAAGTAGAATTCAAGTGCACTAACATCGATTCTAACTTTAACTTCATTAATATAGGTGATGTATAATATAAGCATCTTCAATATTTGACTTCGTTTTGTTGGTCCTATGTTTAATAGTGCTGGGCGCAGCAATTCTTCGATAGACAGTCGTTGCCAACCTCCAAGTATTATCGTCATCTTCTGTTGTACAAAAGCCCATGCGTGTGCTACTCGAGGGCAAACACTGAATTTGTGTTGCAGTGTTTCAACCACAGCAATGCAATGCAAACAATTCTCACCGTCCGCACGTTGGATGGTTCTCATCAATGTTCGGTGCTCCGTCTTCTCATTTATGAGCAAGTATAAGCTGGATGGCTCGATGACAGCTGTTTCGTTGCGATGTTGAACCATATACCACAGACAAACAGACGTAACTCTTCATTGTGTATCTTCGTTCATGCATTTAACGGTTGATTTGAATATTATCAGTTCCGTGAACTACTCGCCGCAGCGCTGGCATCGGATCACTTTGACGTTTCTATACATTCTATAGAACTTTTATGCAATATTGTTTACGAGTTAGCGAGCAAGCTTATTTTCCGCGAGAAGCCAGAGAGATGTCGTTACTGAGGTTATATGTTTTGAGATACTATGTTTTCAAGAACAAGTTTTTCAAAGAGTTACGTCTGTTTGTCTGTGCATATACGCTTCCAGTTCGTGCCAGGATTTTTCCTTTCGACCCGTGGTGTTTCCGTCCGCTCCAAAAACAGGCGATGTATTTGTTCACTAGAGGGGTGCTCTCGAACTAATGGTGGGAGAAGGGGAATTTGCTGGGAAATTAACTTGAGGCAGGGAAGGTCTGCGGGGGGAGAAATTTCTTGGTTGAGAAGGGATTGATAGAACGGAAGGGAACCCCGTGCCTGTATGTGACGATTCACTAGCAGCGCTTTGCACTTCAATGCCGGTAGCTGCAGCTTCATTCCGCCAGATGCTCTGTCACGCGCCAGTTGTTCCATTGGAACCCGCGCTAGTAGCCCGCGCCACAAAAATGAGCCCATAGTTGCCGTTATTTTCGCCGTGTGAACACAATACGGATGGATGTCACTTACCAGATCTTTGCCGTTATGAAGGTGTTCAATAGTGTCACTTTTTGTTGAAGATTGAGATTCCTCAGCGAGTGCAACCACGACTGCTGTGCGAATTTGGATACAAGGACATCCCAATTAATTTTAATCCTTGTGCAAATTGAATTGGTACAAAACACGTCCAGGATCTTTATCTTTTCTGCAGTTTGCAACCACGGCACATTCAGTGGATCTCCATCAATGAGCCCGACGTCGATTGCAACCGTTTTCAGTCTGTTTAGTTTTGCACCGGTGGCTCGTTCAAAATCGTCAAAGAGTCCATTGATGCGTTCAATGACATGTATATTGGTGACTATCACAGATACATCATCTGCATACGCCACCTCGAGGTCAGTAACGTCGCTCTAGCTGTTGCAGGAACGGATGAAGATAAATGACAAAAAGTAACATCGACAACGGGTCTCCCTGTCGGACCGACCGTTCGATGGGGAAACACTGCGAAAGATGTCCATTAACTAGTAAACGAGAAAAGGATCAACGGCGCCGGTGGTGTAGTGGTAAGCGTGATTACCTCTCACCCCAGCAGGCCTGGGTTCAATCCCAGCCGGCGCCGCCGGGATGTTCTGAGGCATAACATCTCTGATCACGCCTTCCTTCGGATGGGAAGTAAAGCCGTTGGTCCCCGGTTCATGAGTTGATGGGTCGATATGTAGGGTCCAGGTGTGGGAGCTGCCTTCCTGGCACGTCGGTAGCATTGGTGCTCAGCACGGAAAACAAGATCGACGGAAAAAACAAACCAAAGGAAAAAAAAAAAGAGAAAAGGATTGATCGGCAATTCGTGCAAGTAAACTGACGAAGGTTGTGTTTATTCCCAGCGTCCGCATTGTTTCGTGAAGGATAGAAAGGGATACCCGATCGAAAGCATGATCGAGATCGTAGCTAATCAGCTTCCCTTTTTGCTTCCTCGCTATCAGCTGAGCAATTCAATCTTTCAGAGAAAGGGTGGCTTCGAAAATTGAATGTCCATCGTTGGAACATTTTTGTGCACCACTCAGCACGCGGTGAGTCCTCATCACGAGTTCGAGACGTGCTTTCAGAATCCTACTGAGAATTTTAAAGTCCGCATTCAGAAGGCTGATCGGGCGGTATCCTCGAGCGGTGTTTGCCGTTCCTCTCTTTCGCACTAACACAATTACTCCGTTGGCGAACTCAGGGGGTAGCTCATTTGTCAGATCCTCATTTAATACGAGGTTCAGTTCTCGGTGGATGAAATCGAATGTACGTTGTTAAAATTCGACGGGTAACCCGTCGCTTCCCGCAGCCGTCCTCTTAGCCGATGTACGAATAGACGACAAAATCTCGGATGTTGTAATTTCTGTCACGCAAGCTTCATGTCACTCGGGTACCACTCTCTCGCATCGGAAAGGGTGCCGTGCTCCATCATTTTCTTCTGTCGCTGTGTATAATTCCTTGGAGTAACGAAACAGATGGTTTTC